CTTCCTTCCTTCCTTCCTTCCTTCCTTCCTTCCTTCCTTCCTTCTCCTCTTCCCTCTCCTTCCTTCCTTCCCTCCCTCCCTCCCCTTTTTCATTGCAATCTGGGGCAGTGAATATTGCTTCGTACATTAACTCGTTGCTGAAGTAGCAATGTCCTGGTGACATAAATTATTTGCCCAAGGTTTTAAAACTTCTTTCTGCTTCCTTGGCCTCGCCATTTGGGGAGACCTCAGAGCCCCTTGCAGCCTTAAAGTCTGAGGTTCCAGACAGGGAAGGGGGTAGAAATGAGATCTTCCCCAAAGCGTCCGGGAGAACTTGTGAGAAGCCCACCCGCTTGCCGCTGCATCGCTGTGGTTGGTGGTTTTGAACAGGAATAAGCAAGCCAAAACTGGATGAAATGGGGGCTCTTCCTTCCGTCTTCAAGAGTGCACGTGTGTTTCTGGCTCGCTCGCTCTCTCCAGCAGGAGTGGCCAACATTTTTCAAACCTCCGTTTCTCCAAGAGGGGAAAAAAACCAATTCAGCCCCCTCTGGCTGGGCACGATGGGAGCTGTAGTCCAGCACTTGCAGAAGGAGGCAGAGAGGCTGGCCAGGAGCGTGATCCCGGCGGCGTCCTTAATGCCCGAAAAGGACAGTCTCAGCTCGGGGGTTGAGCGGGCGCCTAGCTCTTTTAGATTCTGTCGCTCCGTTGCTATGTACATCTCTTTCTCCTAGCAACAGGGCAGGTGTTCTGGCTTTTAAAGAGCCCCCGTTCCAGTTTCCTTTTTTCCTCCCTTCTCCTGAAAGGCAGGCCCTTGGCTAGGGTCAGCAATGGCGCCCAAGAAAAAGGGGGGGCGCAAAAAAGAGGAGGCCCCCAAAGAGCCAGAGGTGGACGACAGTATTGTGCCGGAACATAGCCGAGAATTTTACCTGATTCAGATCCGAGATTTGGAGGGGCGCCTGGCCCGGTGAGTCGTGGGGTGCTTGGGGCAGGCCGGAGGGCAGTGAACCCCAACTTTTACTTCGGATCTGCAGCAGGTCGGACTTTGCTGAGCTTTCGAGGGTCTCCTTTGCGAGTGTCTGCCAACACAGGTTGTGTGAATCAGAAGAACCGGGAGCATTAAAAATCTGAATTTTATGTCTCAGCATCCCACCCTGGGCCAGAGGACAGATGAGACTCAAACATTTGGCAAACCCACCCCACTGCATTTTGGAGATCCTTTCCTCATCCTGGTTTCCGGCCCAGAATTCGTACCCTGATGGGTTGAAATGCCCAGGTTTTGCACCCATTCCTTCCAAAATTCTACCTCTACTTCCCAAATCCTTTGTGGAACATCCCAGATTTTAAGCTGCATTAGGAGGTATTGAAGGAATGACATATTTTAGGATTTTCCAATTCTATAAAACGGATAAATCTACTCCTCTACAAAGTGTGAGAAAATGCCGGGGTTCAGGGACCAGCAGTTTTCGGGTGTGTGCTTACGATCTCAGTGTCTGAACTCCCATATCAGATGCTTAGCCCCAGCCTGACTCACAGTCTGAAGCAGGATTATTTTTTGTTAAAAACACAAAAAACCACAAAACAACTCTTGATCATTCTGAAAACACCCCGTTGCAATGCTGCCTCCAGGAAAATCTCTTCTGAGCAGAGAAGTTTGTAGGAAAAATAAGGAAGTTAAAGGAAGGGAGGGCTTGATTTAATTTTAAATGAACGACTGGAGGCAGCTGGTAAGATTACTTGCCAGGGTTAAAATAATCTTGCCTTTGGGTCTTGTTAAAGATTACGATCGGGTGGCAATCTGGAGCCACTGGTCGTGGGCTTCGGTCCTGAATGGTGAAAATTAGACTTAATAACCCAGGCAGCCATCAGCGTTTGGGCACATTTTCTTCCAACCAGGAATTCCATCGAAGATGCCAAGGCTCCTTGAAATGCAGCCTTCTCCTTCAAAAGCGTGGATTTCAGCTCCCAGAATTCTCTGCAACGACCGGGCTGGCTGGGGAATTCTGGGAGTGGAAGTCCACACCTCTGGAAGGACCTCAGGTTATGGGGCGCCGGCAGTGGGGGAACAGGCGGTTTTAATGGATTGATTTGAGGAGGTTGGTGCTTCACTAGATACCAGAAGAAATGGGATGAGCTCCAGGTGAGCGAAGAACTCTTCCGGAGCGAGTATGAAAAGATGCTGGCCGACAACAAGGAGATCGTGGCCTTCCTGAAGAAGACGCTTAACCAGCGGGTGGATGAGATCGCGGACTTGACCGTTCAGTTCCAAAATCTCCAGCATGCCAAAGACACTGAGAAGGACGCTTTCGAAGCCCAACTGGTCCAGCTGAGGCACGAATTCCAAGAAACCAAGGACCAGCTCACGTCAGAGAATATGTTGCTGAGTAAGCCGAATCGCGGGGTCGTCCCACGCGGCCGGTGCAACTCTTTAAAAATAATAATAATAATTGCTTCGCGGAAAAATGTCCAAGGAAGGGGGAGGCGCCCTGGCAAACTTTCTAGAATAATTTGAAGTTTATTAGACTCCTGGCTAGCTTCCCCGTCCCACATCCACGCCCTTGGGAAGTGGACGGGGCTTTCGAGGCATCCTTTCTCCTCGGCTGAAAAGGGCGTCTTGCTCTTGCGCAGGCGGGAAGTTGGCCGCGCTGGAGGAATTCCGGCTCCAGAAGGAGGAGATGATGGCCAGGTTTGCCGAGCGGGAAAATCAGCTGCGGAAGCAGGAGGAACAGCACAAAGAGATTATCTACAGCCTCGAAAGGAAGGCCGTCATAGATAAAGAGAGGTATGTGCCACGTTCCAGGACAGAAAGTGAGAACGCTCTTCCTATGCTAGCTAGTTGCGAAAGGATGTTTTTTAAAATGTGCCTGTAATAACCATACTTCATTGATACTCTCTCTGATGCTTTACTCATTTGATGCATGACCTTTGAACATTCCTAAGTACAGTAACATTTCATCAGGGAAAAAAATATAATAAAGTTAATACAGGGAGTCCTCGTTTAGCGACCACAGTTGGGACCGGCAACTCAGTTGTGAAGTGAAGCGGTTGCTAAGTGAAACCGTGACCATGCTTACAATTTGACTTCAGCTCTCCTTTGCTTGACAGACCCACGAAGGTCGTCAATGCAAGGACTGGTCGCAAAGTGAGTTTTTCATCACCGTCGTAACTGCGAATGGTCACTAAATAAGGCAGTCACTAAACGAGGACTACCTGTAAAACATTGTGTTTGGCCTATGGGGTGCTGAACACTGTGTGTGTGTATACGTGTGCATACATATATATTTGCATGTGTGTGTGTGTGTGTGTGTGTGTGTGTAAGTGGCACAAGATGCCAAATTTCAGCTGAATGCAAAATGTGAAATCAGGGAAGGATAGTAAGAAGAACCGACGTTGCAGGAAACGGTTTAATCTCAGCATCCTGCAATGGTGGGAAGACTTGTGAATACGCGTAGAGATACAAAAGGATGGAGGGGAAAAAGAACACAGATGAAGGGGATGTAATCAAGGCAACTGGAAGGTGGGGAAGCAGAAGATGAGAAATGGGGAGGAAATGAGAAAATCATAGAAGTAAATCAGCATTTTCAAAAACAGCTTTTTCCCCACGGAATGTGTCGTTCCTTTTTGATTTCCACCGCAAATCTTCCTCTAATAATGTACAGTATATATGACGGGATCTTTTTTTCAAAAAGTGGCTTGCCAAGCTTTGCCCGAAGGCCGTGGGGGTTCTCCGAGAGGAGGGAGTCAGGGCAGGAGCCAAGAAGCCGGGGGTCGTCATCCCGCCTTGTCTTCTCCCTCCCAGGCTGAAGAAGGACATGCTGCACCGGGTGAACGCCGTGGCAGCCGAATTCAGGAAGGTCTCCAACAGCCAGATGGCGGAGACCACCAAGCGCACCATCCGGGAGAACGTCTCGATCAGCCTCCAGCTGACGAAGGTCACGGAGCAGAGCCTCCAGCTGATCCAGGAGAATGACCGCCTGAAGGAGGCCCACTCAGAGGCCATGAAAGAGCTGCAGTTACTGGAGCACAACGAGAAGAAGATGGCAAAGAACAGCCTCAGCAACCAGAAGGCGAGTGTCCGCCCACGCCCTTTCCTCTTCCCTCCCCTTCTTCTTTTCCTTTCCTGCCGTGCCTTTTCCTGCCAGGGTCAGCGGCTTCGTCCACGTGGGCCAAGCGGCCCGGTTCCTCGGCCCAGATTTTGGCCTGCCTGAGTACTAGAGAAATCGTATGAATGCCCTTGATCAGACTCCCCTTTTCACTTAGAAGCTGGCCCTGAACAAACAGGTTGGTTTGCCATTCCTGGTGGATGGCAGCCTGCTAACATCGGCTGGCTTGTGCCTCTGAAACCCCCAAACCTTCATATTTAACCTCACCTTTCTTACACAGATGATTTGGATGCTGACCGAGAAGTGCAAAGAGCTGCAAACTCAGGTGGACGAATACCTGCAAACGAAGGCGCTCCTGAGCAAGACGCAGAAGGCCAACGAAACTCTCCTGCAGCAGAATTTGATTCTCCGGTAAATCCCCCCCCCCGCTAGAAAAGCTGCACCTGGTGGATTTTCCGGATGGGGGAATTTCTGTAGCTCTTGGCCACTTCTGCCTGCCCTTTTCAGCTCCTTCGAGACGGGGACCAGAGCCGTAGGATTTATTCCAAACGTGACCGTGTCATAAATGAGTATTCTTTCTGTATTCATGTATTGGCTTGAAATACTTTTCCTGCCTTCAACCTGAAGGGTGGAGGGGCCGACAGCCTCTGGAGTGGCCTGTCTCCCACCTCGGGTGTCTAAAAAAGACACGGCAGGAAAGGAGGAGGAGATGGAGAAAGCCTCAGTCCCACTGTTTTGTCACTCCGTTGGCCCAGCCTGCTTAAGCAGGCCGATTGAAAGACCAAATGCCTGTGTTTTTGCCCAGCGCGTTTGCATTTAAACTGGGTTAGTCTTGGGTGGCTAGTTTATGATTCAGAGGATTGTGCGAATCCAGAAAGTGGCTTAACTCGGCTAAGGTTTGCCCGTGCAGCCAGGGCTTTATGGCTCTTATCTAGTGGCTGAACATGGGGGTGAAGAACATTGCTGGCGTGGTTTGAATGGTTCTTTCACTCCCGAGATTATTTTGCTGGCTTTCCACGCGATGCAGTTGATATAGGGGAGTTTCGGGTTGCTTTCACCATTCCTTTCCTTCCTTCCTTCCTTCCTTCCTTCCTTCCTTCCTTCCTTCCTTCCTTCCTTC